CCGATGCGGGACTCGATCCAGGGACTCCAGGATCATGACCTGAGCCGAAGGCAGTCGCTCAACCAACTGAGCCACCCAGGCGCCCCTCCTTTTATTCTTAAATGTACTTTCTACTATAAGGGACACATCTTAATTCTAATATTTTGGGGCTTTATGAAAGTTTATATTCACAAGACCTTTCGTGATTTTATAAACAACTGTCTCACTGTCCTTCTAGGTAGAATCTGAGGCTTTTTAGTCTACTCTTATATAAATGTCTGAGTATCCCCAGGAAACTATTAGTATTCATGGGATATTACTTCAGTTACTTTTAAAAAGTAACTAAATTTGAAATGGCTCAGAGCACTTTCATCATACTAATTTTAAAGAGCTTTAAATTCCATTCTCCCCACACTTTACATTGCAGTCATCAGTTCTCTACCAAACATCATATGGCAAGAGTACAACTAGTCGGTGCATCTCTGCACCTGTTCTCGCTTGGCAAGGGCAACACCTGTTAACAGCTCTGAAGTCACAGACAGTACCCTCAAGGTAGGATTGCAAGTATATCCTTCCCCTCTACTGACTAGTGCAAACAGTGCATTTCTCCAATAGTTATGCATGTGTGATCTCAGTTAATATCCATGAGAGCTCTAGAGGAAATACCAAGTGAAGTGTAGAGATTCAGGAACAGTTGAAATAGATAATCCACGTGGGGCAGCTGGGTGGCTCAGTCGGTTAAGTGACTGGCTCTTGCTTTTGGCTCAGGTCATGATCTCAGGGTTGTGAGACTGTGCCCTACATCAGGCTCCATGTTCAGCACAGTCTGTTTGGGATTCTCTCCCTCTCCCTCTGCCCTTTCCCCCACACATGCTCTCTCGCTCAAATAAATAAAATCTAAAAAAAGAGAGAGATAATCCAGGAACAGTTGCACTGATTTCAAAGACAGAACTTGAAAGGAAGAGGGCACAAGCTTTGAAGACTCTTGACTCTAGGTGTTCTTTGTTGTTCTCAGGTGCGTTCTTCCCCTCGCTGAGACTGGACACTTTAACTTCCCTTGAGGCATCAAAGAAGGACTTTGCTTGGTCTCTCATCTCACAAGTCATCTATTACCTACTAGTCTGTTACTGTGCCTTTGTACAGGTGAATTGAAAGCGTCAGATGTAAGAAATTCTCAAGATTTCCCGTGTCATCAGGGGAGCTCCACAATGAGCTATTACAAGAATTATGGCTATGACTTTGGTCCTTTCCAGAGCCTGAATTCAGCTAAAGGCTGACTGGCTTTCCACCAAGTAGCTCTTCCAGTTTTCGAGAGTTAAGGAATTAAGGCTGTAAAAAGAATATTACTTTTTTTGTACAGTTGTATTATCCCTACATAAGGTAACAGCAAGAATTGAAAATATGATGAACAGAGCAAGTACTCAAAAGTACAGGTAAATGGCACCAAAACAGAATCTATCTTAAAAAAAATTTTTTTTTCTTTTAAATAAAAGAATCTGTATCTTAGGACAACATATCTTATTTTCAGGCTTGATAAGTAATTTGATAACCTTTTTAAATTTAAGCAACAAGAATGAAATAATGAGTATGTCCAATGCAAGTTGTATTAGAGAAAGCCAGCTTTTCTATAAGCAGCAGCTCAGTGACTATCGTGCAGAACCAAGACCATAACCCATTGTGTCCAAGTTAGATTTGACAGATCCCCAGCTTAGTGTTTTGCCAGTGTTAAAATACTTCATTAGGGAAAGACCTGGCTAATCTTTAAGGCAAGCAGTAGTGACTGTGGGGTCTCTGTTTAGGGTCATCGGCGGAAACAGCAGAGGTGGAGGTTCTTCACTAGGAAAAGAAACACTCTGGACACGAGCATAATCCTCATTAGCTTTGTCCTCCTGGGTCCTGACATGAAGCTTAACTTCTCTGCGTAAGAAAAACATGGCACAATAGCACTATGACCGGGACAGGTAAGAGGGAGCCTGAGGAGCACAGTCTATTCCTGTTCAGTGTCTAAAGTCTCCTGATTACAAACAAGTATTCTTTCAAACTCTCCTTCCTCTTCCACTGCTCTATCAGACCTATATTGTATAATACCAGAGTTAAATAGAGAACTCAGACGAACGTCCACAACTGAGAAAATAATTAAGAAACTGTTTATACTGCTTATCACATTGAAAATCTCTTCTGCCTTCATAATACTTAGGTATGTGCTTATCAAGGGTAATGCATTTAAATTTCATATAGCAAGGACCTGGAATTAGTCCTATTTTGCACCCTGGCCAAAGACTAAAGGCTGAGGCATGGCAAATGATCATCCTTTAAATAAAACCACAACCCAGTGCATTTTCTAAAACCAAAGGGGGTTGCTTTCTGGGTAGGGATGTCCATCCATTAGCTTATCCATACTTAAGAGACATTCTGGTGCCCCTTTGGACACCTTCTGTGGTCTTTCCCATGGGGAAGAGCATCTATTTCCCAGACCAAGTATTGCCACGTGGTACTTTATTTTTTCAGTGGCCAGTAGTCTGGACTGCTGATCTGCATAATGAGAAAATATCCCAGGTCATCCTTACAGAGGGCCATTTATGCAGGGACAGGGTGTGCAGTTTAAATGATGTTGACAGTTGAGGTCCATCTTGCCATATGGCACTGCCTAGGTCTTAGACACTAAAGCAGTTGTGATCAAGTGCCAATTTGCTCTATCTGTGGGAGTCTTTCCACGTAACCTAGTTGCTGCAACACAAGATTATGAATGTTTCACACGTAACACTCACTTCTAGTTTATCAGTCATCTTTTTTTTTTAAGATTTTATTTGTCAGGGTGCCTGGGTGGCTCAGTCGCTGAGCGTCTGCCTTCAGCTCAGGTCATGGTCCCGGGGTCCTGGGATCGAGCCCCGCATCAGGCTCCCTGCTCCGCGGGAAGCCTGCTTCTCCCTCTCCCACTCGCCCTGCTTGTGTTCCCTCTCTCGCTGTGTCTCTGTCAAATAAATAAAAAAATTAAAAAAAAAAAAAATTTTTGTCTGTCAGACCAAGCGCAAGCAGGGGAAGTGGCAGGCAGAGGGAGAAGCAGGCTCCGTGTTGAGCAAGGAGCCTGATGCAGGACTCCATCCCAGGACCGACTGAGCCACCCAGGCGTCCCGATCAATCATCTTTCTACTTTTAGCACTCTTACACCTATGAGATCAATTACCCCCAGAGAATATAGGATTAGAGTGCTACAGAAAACAGACTAGCATAATGGCACATCTCATGAGGCTAACTCCTCTCGAGACTGGGCATTTAACTCAAAGCAGAGCAGCGGAGGAGGCTGGCCTTGATTTGCAGAATGAATTTTGAGTAATCTACTGGTGGTTGTATTTCAGGGTTTCTTAAGATCTCCCAACCAAATACATGGCCTCTGGCCAATGCTCTCACATCCACAAGTACTGGAGGCCACACTGGAAAGGAGAGTTCTTGCATCAACAAGTATTTGACCCAATGGGACTCACAGAGCTGCTACACTTAAGCAGGGGAAGCACTGGAGAAATGGATGGCAGACACCAGCTGAGTAACTGTGGGCCTTCCTTGGTACAGGTTCATCAGCTTCTATGAGGCAATAAAAGTAAACTCAGCAGTCGTTCACCTCATCGGCTTCCTGGTTCTGTTGGCAATTGTTCAGCTGTGGAACCTGCTGCACCATCACCCCAGGCTGCAGGTCATCGGTAGAACACTCAGCAAAGCCTGGGACGAGGTGGTGGGCTTCTTGCTGGTCATCCTGATCCTGCTCACAGGCTACGCCATTGCTGTAAGCCCTCATTCCCAGTGTCTTTTCCCAAATGCTGTGGCCTTGGAATCACATTGCTTCCCAAGAAAGCACTATATACGGAAAACCATCAGTTCAAGTTGGCAATGAGTTTTGGAAAAAACAGTGGAGTAAGAAAGCTGGTTTTTAGTTGTAGTTCCATACTTAACCAGCAGTATGACTTAAACGCAGACATCTGTCTCATCTCCTCAAATTTAGCTCACAGGGTGATGTGAAGGTCAAATAAATTGATAGGAAAATGCTATGTAATTACAAAGGAATTTTTTTTAAGGCATAGTGACTTGAATGGCCAGTAAGGCATTTCTTTGATTTCCAGCCCCTTTGATCCTGTGTTGGCCTCCTTATCTAGCCAGGAGGGAAAGAGGTGACTTCAGCCTTACTGCTCTCTACCCTCTAATTAGTATTTCTCCTTTTCAGTTTAACCTGCTGTTCGGCTGGAGCGTCTCTGACTACCGGACTTTCTTCAGCTGAACAGTGACTGTTGTTGGTCTCCTAATGGGAATCTCTCATCACGAGGAGGTGAAAACCCCCATCCTGGCTTCCCTGCAGGATTCTATTTTGTTTACAAGGCAAGAATTGCTTACAACAGCAGCCCCTTCTGTACCACTGCACATGGGTGCTATGCATACAACTTGAGGGGCTATTACTTTCAGAAATGTGTCCCCTTTTCAAGCACTTAGTCCCAATTTCCTCACTTCTTAGTCTTATTTTCAGGACGCTGGGCCTGAATTTATGCTCTCATAACCTGGCCAGATTAGTATTATTTGCTGCTTCTTTCTCAGTGGCCCTTTGAAGTATACAATGAAAATGCCTTTTAAAAAAAATTAGGGAGGTACAATTCCAGAAAGAACAGCAATATTTCTGTTCATAGTTAATCAATGCTTATTTCAGAGAGGCTATTATTCTCCCCCAAGAACTACCAACACAAATCTCTCTTCTATATTAAATAGGAAACCCAGATGAGGATTTGGGGCCCTAGCATATATAGATTTGATCAGGACAGAAAAAACTACAATTCAAATTAGTGAAATTGTAAAGATTTTCATGAAGTCTAACCTTTTGAAAATCTAGACCTCAAATGTTAGTAATTAAAATGGGCAAGTTTACATAGTTTCTTCACATAGTTTCTAACGTGGAAAGTTCTCACCTTCCTAAGATCTGAAAAAGACTTGTTACAGTTCTAGGTTCAGTTAGGGAATGAAGTCTTCACCCTTGGAACACTTTATATACTAAGACACTTAAGGAAGTAACAAAACAATGAGCTTTTGCGAACACCTCCTTTTTGACTTAAAAAAACCTCTAATCATAATACAATGAGAAGGAAAATGGAGTATACTAGTATAAGAAAAATGGTGCAAATTACTTGGTTGACCTAGAATAGTTATAATTAAGCAATATCTGGTCATACAGATTTCCATCAGTGATATTTATTTTAAGCATTCCTCCTCTAAGTTGTTGGGCTGTTGCTGGTTTTTGGTTTTGTTTTGTTTTTTAACAGTACCCTAATGGCAACAGTGAATGAGCCAATACCAAGGGAAAATAAACATCATTTGTTAAAATGAACATGTAAACTACTCTTACGGAAACCACCCTAGGTCCTGTATTTGAGAATGATCTCTTCACACTGAAAAGTAAAGAATGGCAAAAATCAGTACTTACTTTGAAAAGGTAACACCAAAAAAACCCCCAAAAAACAAAGTAAAAGCCAGTTTTTTTATGGTTAACTTGTTAAATTTTATTGGAATGCTCCGGTTTATAGAGGTTCTTAGAATGGCAGAAACAATTTTTATGATTTCTGATGTTTATTCTTTCCATATGCTTTTGCTACTTTCAAGCTTCTGTGCTTATATTTTCCAGAGGTGTCAAAACTCACATGGGCTTTAAATCATTTTAGTGATTTAGTGCCACTGTGACTTACCGGTTTTCTTGTGAAAGCCCTGAAGTCAACTATTTTTATACCCATCAAGCCTGTCATTCATGTTCTTCTGTCCACTCAAAAGCATTTTCCTTTTTAATAGTTTTGCTTCTCTCCCTAATTTCCATCAAATATTTTATGTGAGTATATCCCAAACATTAGCATATAACTTACATTTTTAAAGTAGAAGTTAAACTGTCAGTGTTTAAAATCAAAATATTTTGTCTCTTTCCAGGTTATTGATTTAGACCCAATCCTGGGATCCTTTCTGATTCTCACCAGTGTCTTCTTGATGGTACTTGTGATCATTAACCTTTTTGTTTCCGTCATTCTCATGGCCTTTGGTAAAGAACGAACGTCCCTTAAGGTAGGTAACTCCGACTCAGTAACTGAAATATAAACTTGTCATCATTTTATCATTAGAAAAACTCAACTGTTGCTGCTCTTAGGATTACAGACGGACATAATGCACAGTAGCAGCGTAGTCCCTTTATTAGTCTCCATAGCTCTGGCAACCATTTTCATAGGACACCTAGTTTAGAGGACATCTGCAGTCCTATAAATAGCTGGTCCTCAACTATTAAGTAGCAGAAACACTCCAATGCCTGACAGTAAATCATTAAAGGAAACAGTGTTTACACTAGTTTTTTAATCTATTGGCAGTCTTCCCCTCCAACATTAGCATCAATTTTAATTCCCTAACTTTTCTCCTTTTGTCTTTGAATAGACTCTGAAAGAAGATGCACTGACACATGTGGTGCCACAGAAGCTCTCCAGTTTGCTAGGAATCCAGGGGCACCGGAACACGTGAGCAAACAGCCATGACAGCAGTGGGCAGTAACACTAAGGCTTTAAAAGATGAGCTATTTGGGGGCACCTGGGTGATTAAGTCGGTTAGGTGTGTCAAGTCATGATCCCAGGGTCCTGGGATCCAGCCCCATGTTGGGCTCCCTGCTCAGTGGGGAGCCTGCTTCTCCCTCTGTGCTCTCTCTCTCAAATACTTTTAAAAATTAAAAGATTATCTTTGCATGGTATAGTTTAGAAAATTACCGGTTTATAATACACCATTAATTTTGTAAATCACTGAGGAATCAAAATCCCCGTGGCAGCAAGTTCTTAGGTTTATGGATCACTGTCAAGAAAGGGTTAACACTACAAGAGTGATACAGGATAAGCCAGCTCTGCTGCCAAACACCTACCACCAATATATTCAGCATGGCTGTGGGAAATATGTATGAGTCAGAGGTGAGCTCACTGCAGCTTATTAAAATCAAAGATATAAGCATGAGGTTTGGCTAATGGGGAGCCCTGTCCCAGAGGACTAATGAAGCCAACTCCCAAAGGCTATCTAGGCTTAAATACAGAAATAGAAATGGACTCCTCGCTGCTCCAGGCATCCACATTACCCAAGAAACCAAAGGTAAGGTCTGGCTTGTGCCCAGCATGGGTCACTTGCTTAAAATACTCTCCACTAAAATCCAATTTGCACTTCATCACTTGACCAAACCAGTGGAAAAAGCAGGGCACAGAATTTTTAACTTTATTATCAGCTACTGAGCTATGAGATACAAACCAATCAAAAACATTAAAGTTGCTTGAAACAGGTGTGTATATTTACACTACACAGAAGCCAGAGTCCTATCTTCTGATCCCAAAGCCATCCCTCTGGGGAAGGATGGCCTCAGCTAGGGGGTAAAGGAACACTGTTAAGTTACAATAGTAAGAGTCTCATCCATCTAGGAAAAGTAGTCAACAACTGCAGCCACATTTTTTATGGGCACCCAAAACTTATGTGAAATCGGTTTTTAAAGGTTCTCTTAATCATAAAGTTTTCAAATGAAAACAGGAACCCCACTTCCCCTGTAGGCATTCCAGCTCACTACCCAAGAAACTTGAGTACTTCTGTTAAGGCAACTGGAAGCCCACCCTAGCCTTGGTGACTTCTGCCCAGTGTGTGACCTGTCCTTCGTTCACCAGTAAATGCAGTCCAACAGAACATGCCCTGGGGGAAACAGGAGTTTATGCAGTGCTGCCCTCTGGTAAGAGGGGAACACAGCACTCAAAGCAAAAGGCCACGGAGGGCTCCCTGAGAATCCAGTAGATCTAAGAGAAGCCTTCAACTTTCCCAATAAACTCTGCAACTGGATCCAGGTAGAACAGGCCTGCAGCGAGTAGTGTATAAGCCAATGAGAGCACCCAGCTTCCAAGAACCTTTAAAGGGGCTTCCAGAGTCAGTCTCTCCCATTCATGGCACACCTTTGCTCACTACAAACCCCTCTGGACAGAGGGGTTTGTTTCTAAGTCTAGAACTTCAGCACAGGGCTGAGAGACTTCATGAAGTATTCTTCTCCGTGTCCAGCCATCTTTGGCAGCTCTCCTCATAATGCTTTCACCTTCCCACTCCCCTGTGGAGGAACAGGTACAGGTGATGGGAGAACCTGGGCTCACACTCAAGGGAGATGGACAAGCTCGGCTGCCCAGGGTCAGCTGCTCTGGCCTCATAGTCTCTAATCATTAGTTTCTTAGGAGCAACAGAGAACTGGAAAGCAGCAGAATTTAGAGCAGAAAGAGAACCCAGAGGAAGAGTGTGCTCAGTGATGGTTAAGTGATGAAAACGAATTTCATGGAGATTCTTTGTTACAAGGAGAAAAAGCTCAGTCTCAAATCTCAGAGCCTGGAGGTTGCCTGGTTGAGGAGAACTAGGTTTTCTTTTTCAACTCTTCAAATCTCCGGGAAAGATCATCAAAGTCAATGTCCTCAGATGCCGAGGCGTTGGCACCAGCAGATGCAGTTGGTAGTGTGTCTGGCACAGACGGCAACTCCGGTAGTACAAAGTTGTTGTAGGTATCCACAGGTTGGGAAGGGGGCTTTGCAGAGGCTTCCGGCTTGGGCCCAGGACCTAATTAAATTAGGGTAAGGAGCACAGTGTCACAAACACCAGAGAAAAGTGGCTCAGATCCTCAAAGCCCACATTCCCCTTTGACAGGAACAAAAATACAGGAGAAAACACTGGTTTTTAAAAAATAATTCTAAAAGTCAATAAAAATTTTCAGGACAATTAAATCTACATTTCCTTAATACAGCTGACTCCTATCTGTTTTACTTTACTACGGTGAGAAAAAAGATTAAGGGAAATTCAAAGTGTGGTACCTGGGACTAGGTACACAGAGCATGCACTCAGACTGTCCCCTTTCACAAAGGTCTGCTCCCATCACGACAAAGGCCAAGGGGTGGTACTAAAATTCTGTTGGAATGAGCCCCTCTTTAAGGCTCAGGTGCAAAAATTTTTTATGAGGAATGTTAACGTCCTTATTTGATGTAGTAGGATCTGAATTACCAGTCTTCCATTTTGTATTTTATAAGTTAAAATCATCCCCCTCTCTACCTACTGTACGTTTCCATTTGTATCTAAGTTCTAGAAAAGGCAAACCTCAACTACTTTTAGAAAGTAAGAATAGTGGGGTGCCTGAGTGGCTCAGTCAGTTGAGCATCCGACTCTTGGTTTCAGCTCTGGTCATGATCTCGGGGTCATGGGACTGAGCCCCATGTCAGGCTCCACGCTGAGAGAGAAGTCTGATTGAGATTCTTTCCCTCCCCCTACCCCATGCACGCTCATGTTCTCTTTCTGTAAAAATAAAATCTTAAAAGAAAAAGAAAACAACAGTATTTGCCTCCAAAGTAGAGAGTGGATTGATGGACTTGAAAGGAACATAAGAGAACTTTCTGGGGTGATGGAAATGTTCTACACCAGTTTTACTGAAGTATCATCAAAATATACCTCAATAAAACTATCTCCAATTTAAAAAGTATCCCCCTCCTTCTGGTTTCCATAGTGCTGGTAGTGTTTTACTTTCTGAGCAGATGATCACACGAGCATGCGTGCTTTATGAAAAGTCATTGAGCTATTCATTTATGGTTTTATCTACTGCCCCCTCTTTAATGCTCAAGCTTAAAAATATGTTATCTATATCTAGATAGAAAAATAGCTAGATTGATCTCTTTTGCTATTTCTAGGTACAACGGAAGATGAAGCAGCAGGACCATAAAGAACTTGAGATTGAAAGAATAATGATACCATTAACAGAAACAAGGAACTTGGGAGATTCTCTGCAACCAAGAAAGATATTTTCTTTTTGGATGAGAGAAATCCGAAGTTCTATTTTCATCCTACTACACTCTGGGAGAAGACAGGGCATGTGGGTAAAATGCCACAAACATGAACACTATCTCTGAGGCAGGAGCGGTAATGAGAAAACAGCAAAGGGTTCAAGCACTGAGGGTTTCTGATTCACACTCACCAACAATCTGTGCAGAAGAGACATTCTTATCAGCATTAAGGTCATCAACCTGAAACACAAAGATTGTTACTAGGGGAGAAAGCAATGGCATTACTGGACAAAGTACTGATATTGGTATAAGCCCCTGTGTTTTCCAAAAGCTAAGCTGCTCAGCAGAAGCAACAGAACCTCCTCCAAAGAAACTGCCCCTCCACCCCCTATACTCCTTCCTGATCTTCCAATCAGATAACATGTTAAACTCAACCACCAAGCAGAGAAAAAGAAAATTCTTACCACACCATAACATCTCTCTTTGATACCTTCACCTTCTGGGCAGAGAGAAAGCACTAACCCACTGAATTCATCTCCAAGAACCAAGTCCTCTAATACTGAAGATCTTCTACCTCATTCCTAGAAACAGTTGTGGGCAATGCTTCAATGCATGCAAGACGGAAACGTAAGAAAACCCAGGCCCAAGAGAAAACCAAAGGAAAGAACACTAAGCAAGTTCAGGAACAGGGCGCTCTCGCAGCAAACGCCCTACCAACTGTAATGCATCAGATGGAAATAGGTCTCAAAAGGCATATACCAGCTGAGGAAACAAGACTGACAGAAAAGGAGCCCTCTATTCCTGAATCAAAGCTATGCAATCACCAACAATTCAATTCAAGGCACGGTTACCATATTTATAACAAGTTTCATCTATAAGATGAAAATGTAAAAGTAATGTTATAGGCTGAAGTTTACTAACTGGACACTTCTGTTTAACATAAAAATCTGGCCACTATTCTTTTACACAGTGTTGAATTTGTAAAACTGGTATTTTAATTATGATATTCTAGCAGTAAGACTACACCAGCTCAATACAATTCTCTGCCTAGTTAAAAACAAACAAAAACCACCAAAAAAACCCCCAAAAGACTAGGTGAGTGCCCTACTAGAACTTTCTAGGAGATCTGCAGCTCCTTCCTGATTCCTGGCTTAATTGCAAACAAAGCCCTGCACCCAGTGATGCCGCCCCACCACCCCATTTCCAGGGCAACGTTAAAGCAACACAAAAATCCAAAGCAAGAGCAATGCTGGTAACTAGGAAATGATCAAAACTTTGCCTTCCCTGTGGCCATTATTTCTCTCTCTTCATGGGATTCTCTCTCCTGCTGCTTACAAAAGAGGCTCAAGCACTTACAGATTCATACGATGGGGGAGTTGCTGGTATCTGAGGTGGATGAATATTGGGAAAAGCCTGGTAAGTCCCCACTGGCAGTCCATTGAAATCCGACTGCAAGAGAAGAAAGGCGACATCAGAGACACGGCCCCGTTTTGCGGTTTCTGAGGTTTGTGTATGGTATGGGAGCAATACCTACACGTATTCAGTGTGAATATTCAAGAAATATATTCAATATGTATATATATATTCAAGAGCTCCAAAAGAAAAAAAATGCCCAGAAGGATTCCAGATTTTTAAAGATCTAAAGCCAAAGGCTAGTCTTCAAATTACTAATCAACTGCCTGGATGTCTACAGGGGAAGATTCTAATCAGACTTTCCTATTACTAGTAATGACCTTCACCTTTTTGTCTACAAAAGAGGTTTTTCTACCTGGTAATAAGTTGTACTCATTTTTGGAAAGAACTACTAGTTTGCCTGCTACAGGTCCCAAAGGTATTCAGTAAAGCTACAAGAAAACGTTTCTCTAGCACGATCTCTGTATATTTTCCCACATCATTAACAAAAGACTTTCTCTAAATCCCAGTATTTTTTCCACAATATGATCACTAATACCAAATGTTCTTCCTGCAGAATCTTCTTAACAACCTACAACTCCTGTATATTCATACATCCAATGTGTCATCTTGTTACATTTTCTACAGTTTACACCCACACTTCTATGTATACTTACTGGTCCCTTTGGAAGTGGATAGGAGAAAGGAGTACTTGGAGAGGGCATGGGCATGGGCATAGGCAGTGGCACTGTTCCATCAGGTCCACCAACTGGTGTTGCGAAACCACCCCCTCCTCCTCTTCCAGGACCCCCTTTCTTCACATCATCTGTGAATCCAACATCAATAAGATCTGTCTCTACCCCAGGAGGAGCTTCTGCCTGAGAAGAAGAGAGAAACCCGTATCATTAACCCACATTGCAGGCCAGGTTCCCCCAGAAGCAGACTCTGAGATAGAGACCAGTGTGGAGGAAGGTACTGGCGTGGTCCCTTGGGATAAAGACCTGTGGGGAAGTGAAGGAAGCCGGGCTAGGCTGCTGTACAGTCACAACAACTGCTCAGTCGATTCCTTAAGGAGCTCTGAGCTGGAATGGGCCTGCAACATGTACCCCCAACTGGGACAGAGTCTTTAAAACCCAGTTACTGAATACAGGCTGTCCTGCAGAAAAGACTGTGGATGAAGCAGCTTTCTTCTGAGGGCCATTGCTGGAGTGTTATGAGCCACCAGTCATCAATACTCTCAAGAGCTGGGGAAATAAATGCTTTTATCCTTAGGTGTGTATATCTGGGATGGGGGAGTGTTGTCTAAGCAGCACAGCAAAGAACCCACTACACCCCACTGACCTTAATTGAAGGATTACTATTTGCATATTTGCCCCCCTTACACTGTAAACCTCTTCAGGACAGGGAACTTGTTTTTATCTCTGTATTCTCAGGTCTCAGTGCACTGTCTAACACACGGCAGGCACCTAATAATTTTAGAATACATTTGGGGTCTTGGGGCATTTCTTGCTTCAATTCCTTGAACCTCATCGAAAAGCAGCAATAGTGCCATTCTGTATTTGCATCAAGGTTTGTACCTTTTCTAAGTGCCTTCCAGTCATTCATCTCATCTGATCCTTAAATACTCTTTGAGAAATGCAGGCATATTTATCATTACCCAAAAAGGCACTAACTGGACAAAGGCTTAATCTCCCACATACAAACTTTAGTGCAAAGGATAGGATTATTTTTTAAGAAAATGATATCCAGGGGCGCCTGGGTGGCTCAGTTGGTTAAGCGACTGCCTTCGGCTCAGGTCATGATCCTGGAGTCCCTGGATCGAGTCCCGCATCGGGCTCCCTGCTCAGCAGGGAGCCTGCTTCTGCCTCTGACCCTCCCCCCTCTCATGTGCTCTCTCTCTCTCATTCTCTCTGTCTCAAATAAATAAATAAATAAATAAATATCTTTAAAAAAAAAAAAAAAAGAAAATGATATCCAGAGACTCATTTCCCCCTCTGTACTCTGAAAGACTCTCTACTCACCATGACCACAGAGTCAGGCTCATAGGGCACATTGTAGTTCTTAGCAATTTCAATCAGGTATCTCTCCACCAGGATTTTGGGTGGGGCTTCCACACTCAGTTTGTGCATTAGCTGTAAGTAAAAGACCCAGGGTTAAAATCTATGCCAATCAGCCTAACCTGACTCACTTTTAAACTCTGTTCCTCTTATTTTACAGGTAAATTGAGGAAAAATGAGGTTTGACCGGTTAAATCATTTTTTTTTTCCAGTCACAAAGCATTATTACAAACCCATGCCCCTCTCATGGTCTCTGGTTACACATGACCCAGGTGTTGGTAAGACTGATAATGCTGCCTTCCACATCTGAATTCACCCACTCTTCATCACCTTGCTTCTACATACACAAATCACAAGGGGCACAAAGGACTGGGGGCCTCACAATCAGAGGTTTAGGGAAGGGTAAGGAGTTGACTCCACAGCCAGCCAGAGAGCTTTCTCACCCTCACTATAAAATATGCAACCCTAGATTAACTCAGCCATACAGTAGGACCCACTACAATCAAGCCAGGATAACATGCCCACACCCTGTCTACTGCATCATGTTAAGTATGTTCATTACCCTGTCATTCACAGTTCCAATCTGGTTGGTCCTACATAACTTGCCGTATTCCTTGCTATACTTGGCACAGAGCTGATCAGCAACCTATAGAGAAAAAAGAACAGTAAATGAAAGTGGAAACCATTCTTACAGACTGCTTCAAGCTTCCTATCAACAGTAACCATGCTTCTATTACAGGATTTCAAAAAACCCCGGGCCTGTAAAACTTTTAAGGGATACATTCTTAGTTCATATTTGTTTATCCATCCATCGAGCTGTAACTATGTGCCAAATTCTCTCATAGACATTATGACATATGCTATAAATACAATAAACAAAAACAGACATTGTTCCTACTCTTAAAGTCTTAGAATCTCTGAGGAAACCAGTCATTACTCAGTCACACAAATAAAGATACAAATGTAGCCGCAGTTAAGTATCACCAAGTGAAAGTACACACACTGTCAATAACTTACAACAGTGAAATTAGATCTGATCAAAAAAGTCATGTAAGGGGGAGCCTGGGTGGCTTAGTTGGTTAAGCGTCCAACTCTTGGTTTCAGCTCAGGTCATGATCTCAGGGTTGTGGGAACAAGCCCCGAACTGGGCTCCTTGCCCAGCACAGAGTCTGTTCGAGATCCTCTCTTCCTCTCCCTTCCCTCTGCCCCTCCCACTTGTTCACTCTCTCTCTCAAATAAAATCTTAAAAAAAAAAAAGTAAGGCTTCCTGAAGAAAGGGATGATGCTTCACTGGGATGTAAAGGATGACTAGGAGTTAAGAGGGAGGGAAGAACATTCTAGGAAAAGGAAACAGCATGTGCAAAGGCCTCAGGTAGAAAAACTGGGTCAATCCTCAAGCTGAAATAAAGTCACTGTTGAGCCCCAGGGAGAAGTGTGATAGGAAATGAAGAAAGAGGGCGCCTGGGTGGCTCAGTCGTTAAGCGTCTGCCTTCGGCTCAGGTCATGATCTCAGGGTCCTGGGATCGAGCCCCGCGTCGGGCTCCCTGCTCAGCCAGGAGTCTGCTTCTCCCTCTCCCACTCCCCGTTTGTGTTCCCTCTCTAGCTGTCTCTCTGTCAAATAAATAAATAAATCTTAAAAAAAAAAAACAACAACAAACACACACACACACACACAAAAAAGGAAATGAAGAAAGAAAGGCAGAAAGGGGCCACACAATGCGGAACTATGCAGGCCATATTAGGAATTGTTTCCATCATAAAAACAGCAGCTACTAAAGGGCTTTAAAGCAAGGGGTAGTGACAGAATCAGATCTGTGTTCTGAACAAAACCCTAAGCTGAACAGACTAAAAGAAACCAAAGTATGTGTAGGAAGAAGATTCAAAAAATCCAGGCAGGCATTGAACCAGAGTGGCCCCAACATCTGAGAGTTCAGTAAGGAGGCACTCATTGTTCAGTATGTAGACCTGGTACTTACGACTTAAGGTTGTCATCTGTCTTTTAAATAACAGTTCTTGGTTGCTTTATATTATGCAGGAATTTTTTATTTTTCTTAATTTATTGCTCTTTGTTTATGGCTTTTGGGTTTTATGGACTTTTCCACTATGAGATCATTTTTTTAAATCTGCCTAGTTTTCTTCTAGTTCCTTTATGAGTTCACCTTTTTAAAATCATGTAAATGTGTTTCATCTTGAATAAATTTTAATATAAAGGAAGAATACAGGAGAGGTTACAACGAAACTGAGGTTGGGACGCCTGGCTGGCTCAGCTGGAGGAGCATGCAACTCTCGATCTAGGGTCATGAGTTCAAGCCCCACATTGGGTATAGAGCTTACTTAAATAAAAACTTAAAAAAAAAAAGAGATAGAGACTGAGGTTAGAAGTCTGTATAAGCAGCAGCTGCCTCTGAGGCACCTCACTGGCTCAGTCGGTAGAGTATGGGACTCTTGATCTCAGGGTCGTGAGCTAAAAGGAGGAGCAGTTGCCTCTACTCTCCCACCATTCCTCTACTTACACAACTCGGACTCCCAGCCCTACCAGATCAGAATACAGGAGGCTTACTCTCTGGTGAGGTTAAACTAAAGGGATTCTGAACTCCAAGCATAGCAGAGAGCAGAGACACATAATGACAATAGAAAAATTACGTGTAAGTCTTCTAAAAGAGAAGAATGAGACCTCTGGCTTCCTTCTCCTCTGGTTCTCAGAAATTCTGCCAGCTTATAACCTCAAAGTAAAAAAAGAGGATTCCTCTCTGAAGGAAATGACCATACCGAGGAAAAAAACTAGTTCTTGATACTCTGGAGTTCCCTTAAGAAAGGGCTTAGATCATTCAACAGTGAAGGCATCTGGCAATAAGCCCCACTCAGGCACACAAGAGGTTCCAAGCCGCTTTTTAAATGCCTCACTTTCAAACATAAACCAACAATCAAGGGTCACCAAACTTCTGTGAAAAGCCTCTACTACAAAATAGTCTAAAACAAAGAAATAGAACAAGAAAATGGAACAAGAGGGCGCCTGGGTGGCTCAGTTGGTTAAGCGACTGCCTTCGGCTCAGGTCGTGATCCTGGAGTCCCGGGATCGAGTCCCACATCAGGCTCCCTGCTCAGCAGGGAGTCTGCTTCTCCCTCTGACCCTCCTCCCTCTCATGCTGTCTCTCATTCTCTCTCTTGCAAATAAATAAA